CCAAATGTCAGTAGTGAGAAACCTTCTTCTAAACTGAAAAGGTGAAGCTCAATGATCTCCTCTAACTGCCTAAGTTAGAGCCAAAAACAGCCAAGAACACGGAGGCTTATGCTATCAACTACAAACTCTAGAGCACTTAGAAATATCAAGCAAACATTTTTTAAAAAGTCCATTTGCCTTAAAAAAAAAAAAAATCAAGTTATAATTTGTGTCCTCCTCTTTTGATGCTGGCCTCCAGAGATGTTAATAACCAAACATAAGACAATGTGGATTCATTTCAACACTGTTATCTTTTGCAGTAAAGGAGGCAATGTTAAGAGAAAAAACCAAAAAGCTCAAAAAGATAAATGAATGTTCTATCACTGGAGAATCATGACAACAAACGCATGTCTTAGAGAGGGTTGGAGTGGAGGGGTAGGTAGATACTAAGTGAGACAGAAGGATAAAAGCGCTAAGCAAAAATGAAGAATCAACAGAGAAATGGGCAAGATTAAAAAGAAAGCATTTCCCTTCTGTGAGATCCAAGGGATGCTCTCTGGTACCAGAGAGGGAGCTGGAGGCCAAATACACTAGTGTAAACCTTGAGGACAGCAAAGAATGGCTAAAGGAAGATCTGGCAAGTCCCAGTTGACACCACCCGCCAAACACCCTGCACACATCAGAGACCCTCCTGCTACATACCTGGATCTTCTAAGACTCAAGGTGTCCCACCTCAAACCTGCTGTCCCAACCGAAGGGAAGCACTGGGAGTTCTCCCAGAGACCACACCCCTGTCCTCTGAGCCTTTGTCCATGCTGTTCCTTTGACCTGGAATGCCCCACCACCAGCCCTGCCCCTGATCCACCCAGACTCAGGCTCCCTTCCTCACGGCTGTCCCACAAGGTGCCCCAGCTATCCTGCCACTGGTCTGTGAGTCTGCTGGGTGGAAGACCCCTGAGGGCAGGGATGATGGTCTTTCACTAAGAGCTCTCTGGAGCTTCAGGCAGTACCTGACACAGAGCAGTCACTGAGAACACGTGCTGAATGAGTATTTTTATTTTTAAGTAACACTCTCTCCCTGACCTTGCTGCCACTGGCTGGTGTTACTGAAACATTCCACATATTATTTCATCCACACTCAGGACTCCATTCACAAGCAATCTAGATTTGAAATTTTTTTACTTGCAAATACTATGACCCTAAGACCCAAGCTAGCACCTAATGTATACTGACAGTTTCTTTAAAAGCAATCATTGTACGAACACTGTAACTACAGAATCAAAGAATTCTTATCACCAATGCCATAAAAAACATCTTCCTTATCTAGCTTATACTGGCTGCACATTGTGGCCAATGTATTCAAACCGTCTTTATAAAGCCATGTTTCCCCAGCATGTTAAACAAAGCATGAAAGCCAAATCAAAGATACAGCCTATCAAGTGGATCCCTTTAATTTGCTGCCTATATTAAAAAGATAACATTATTTTGGCAGATACGAAGATACTTGTAGTAAGTCTGTGTGTGTACACAGATATAAAGGCAAGTGAAGATATTAATACACTATCTATAAATCAATCTTATCTAGATATGAATGTACCTGTGTACAGATGTATAGTTGCCTTTGCATATATATGCATGTCAATTTTTATCAACAGAAGAAATGACATTTTCCAAATTGTCCCTCAGCACTCTCTCCCCTTGAAATCTCTTATGCTTTCCTTTCTTCTGTTGCTTTTTAACTAAGAAAATATGCAACCTCCATTCTCTTGGTTTCTTTAGAGTAGCAAGCACCCTTGTTTATGCCCAGAATATCTGCAGTCTCTATTAAGAAATGACTATCTAACAGATTTCTTTGCTGATAGTGATGAAAAATGTACCTAAGACACTAAAGTGCAAATTAACCTACATTCCAAGTTACTTCTCATTTTACTCTACTAAAGTTTAGGATAGCAGAGAATTCTTACCCTGAAAAGCAAATAATTCCATTATTTGCTGTTGACAGAAACACTTAAGCTCACTATGTCACAAACAAGACTTCCTCATTGTTACCTCTACTTTGAATTTAAATTAAAATTATAAAGTGGTATGGTGGCCTCCTTGGTTGGGTTTATTTACACTTTTGAAACTGTTACTTCTTCTACAGGGGAAAAATTGAGTATGGAATGAAGGAATGGCAAATCAAGGTCAAGGCAACAGGAGACCAGGCTGACTTAAGTCACCAGTAGGCAGGGTGGACATGGAGACACAGAGGATCCATAATTTCTCACTTAAATAGGACAATAATTCAATCATCTAGTTAAAAAAAAAAGTTACAAAGGCTATCAGGTTATAAAAATAAAGATAATACTAGATAGCTACTTTACTGAGTGGTAAGGTATGGGATAATATAAATGGTAAGTGTAGTTGTTTAACAAATGATAGTATGGAGTATCTGGCCAAAGAATAAGTGAGCCATGCTGAAACTGCCAAAACAGAATGGGAAGGAAAATAGCTCAGAGGTCCAAAGTAGGCACAGTGAGTCTTACCTCAGGTGTGTTGTTCACCAGGACTCACTAAGCTAGAACCCCAGCATGTTTCTCCTCCCAGGACTTGAAATGAGTTATGTAATGCACAAACATAGTTGCTTCTAAAAATATTTATACAATGTTATGCAAATAAGTGGGGGCTTCCCTGGTAGCTCAGATGGTAAAGAATCTGCCTGTAATGCAGGAGACCTGGGTTTGATCCCTGGGTTGGGAAGATGCCCTGGAGAAGGGAGTGGCTACCCACTCCAGTATTCTTGCCTGGATAATTCCATGGACAGAGGAGCCTGGCGGGCTACAGTCCATGAGGTCACAAAGAGTTGGACATGATTGAGCTGAACTAACACACACGCACACACACAAATAAGTTAACATTAGTTGTCTACAAACTTATTAAAAATCTATTGGCAAGACTTGCTCAAAACAAGATATGGTCTTTTGTCATCATCATTGACATCCAACAAGTTTGTTGGTCCAAGTAGCAGAAAGGGAAATTTACTCATCTCTTGCTCTGCCCTAGAACCTAGGGTAGCGCCCCACAGTCTAGCCAATCACATCATTTCTGAATGGTCCAGGGCCCCAATGAGCTACTGCACTCTATCCCTGCCACACAGGGGGCCTCCCACTGCTGCTGTCCGCTCAGCTTGGGCCTTTGTTTGACCCCTTTTCTGAGCTTTTGCTTAGAACTCCCTCCCTCCTCTGCTCTAGGTTGCCCTAATTTGCCTCACTACCTCCATGGAAGGTTTTTTCCTTTGCCATTTAACTTTCAAATTTAATGCAAGTCTGACATTCAATTCTAATAGTTTTAAGTGTGTGATTTTGTGCACAGGGAGTGTCTCACATCTTCAGTGTCCCTTTCAGAGCCCAGCACCGTGCTAGGACCTGTATTACAGATGCACAGTAAACTTGCTGTTAAGACAATATATGTGCTTAATAAAACCCTTCTTTTATCTACTAATGACAATGAGGCGCTGAGTTGAGGTAAATTACCCCATGGATTCAATCCAAAGAACACTGTTGTATTAATTACCAAGCTACTTAAGGCAAGAATGTTTTCTGGTCTTAATTATTTGGACTATTATTTTAATTGTCACTTCTAAACTAAAGACTCCACCATATGCTTGCAAAACACTGAAAGCTGAATCTTCACAAACAAGGCAAGATTTAATATTCTCCAAGGCTAGGTCTCCAAGACTATTCTGAAGAGGAATCAATTAGGCAATTATGCATGTACTCTCAGGCTTCCACATTTTGTCTTAGATATCACTAGGAATGCCTCAGATATTCCGGTTTGAAGTATCTCCATAATTACCTCAACCCATCTCTCCCACCTTATTGTTAGAGATTCCCTAGGTAGTGTTCAGGGGTTAAATGTTTCCAAACACCAACAATGTTACGTTCCAAAAAGAAAAAATAAAACAACAGAAAACAAAAACAACTCCCTTCCCTCCCCCCGCCCCAAACAAAACCCCTTAATCAAAGAGATTTACAAAAAGAATGTAAAATGTTTCCGTCAGCGGTGGCGGCGTTTGTCTCCGTGTGTGATCTATTTTAAATTTACAACCACTTGAAAAAAAAAAAAAAAAGGACTTCAAGAACCCCCAAATTGAGGAATGTGGATAAAAGACTGGCAGAACCCTTGGAGAGCTCCTATGGCCCCTCCCTCCAAACCCGCGTTCTTAAAACACATTTTTTTTAATTCTCTCAGCCTGCAAAACACTGCCTTCTCCCAGAATAATTCCATTTTAAAAGCCCCCACCCGCGAGGAAACATTAATCTACTTTGCAAACAAGCGTTCCAGTCTGTGCTTTACTGTTTTTTTCAACTCCTTTTCCCCCACCCCCCCTTTTTTGTACCTTGAGACAAATGTTTTTTTTCCCCAAGAGTTGAAAGCTGTCCAAAAACAGGACCACACACGCCGCCGCCGCCTCCGCAGGCCCGCGTTGCTCCCGCCCCCCGCCCTCCGCGCGGCGGCCGCGGCGGCCGGGGGCGCGCACACTCCCTCCAGCCGGAGGGGTGGCCTCTCTCTGCCCCCAGCCTCCTTTCGCTTTGGACGCCGTGGGTGGGGGTGGGGGAGGGAAGGAAGCTGAGGACGCGAGCAGGGAGCGCAGACGCCTTCCTCTGGCCGCGTCTGGGCGCGCGGCGGAGGCGAGCGGCGGTGGCGGCTGGACCTGGGAGCCCCCCGGCCGAGCGGAGTGGTCTGTCCCGCGGAGGGGCCCCGTGCGCCCCCGCCGGCCCGCCCTCGCCACTCTCTCCCACAACACCTCGCAAAGCGCAGCTCCCCGAGTAGATTACAGCGCGGCCTTTGTCGGGCGGGCCTGGCTCCTGGCCAGGCGCCCAAACAATAAACAATTCCCCCTGGTGCGGGCAGGGGGTTTTCGCTCTTCATAGAAAGGGTCTAGGTGTATGCTGGCAAATATCTTTATCAATTGGAAGGAAGGGAAGGGGGCCTGGGTTGGGGGGACGAGAGGGCGCCGCGGCGGGCACGGAGTTTCTTACCTTCCACCCACAGTTCCTCCACGTTGGTCTCGAGATTAGCTGCCTTTAATCCCACAGCGAAGGCCCCAAATATGAGGAGGCCTACAACCAAGAACTTGCCGCAGTTTTTTTGAATGTAACAACCCAGTTTAAATAAGAGTCTTTGAAACTTCGCTCTCAGCCACAGCGGCGCTTTCCGGCCAGTAGCTTTCCCCTGAGGATGAAGCAGAAGGCAGGAGTGAGCGCCCCGGAGTCGCGGGCCGCGCGTCCACGCCCGCTTGCGCGCACCCGTCCGGCATCCCGCGACGGCATTTGCGGGGGGGTGGGGGTGCCCTGCGGGCTGGAGCCCAGGTCGGCCAGAGGAAACGCGAGCGGCGTGGGGGGGAGGGGAGGCTGGTCATAAATCAAAGTCAGGCTGCAGCGTGGGAGCTGCACCTCGGCCACAGCAGGGGCGCCCCCACGCGCAGCCTGCGTAGCGTCCCCGAGTGACTTGAAGGTCTGGGAAGGGGGACTGCGGGAACAAGAGGAAGCAGAGGCAGTGAGGAGAACACCATTCGATACAGGAAATATTCACACCGGTCTGGGAAGGGAGGGGCTGCGTAATCCCTGCGATGGAGCCCATTTAAGAACAAGCAAACCACTGCGCCCTTGCCCGCAAGTTCTGCCCCAGCCTTCACCCTTCTTGGGGTGCTCCGCCGAGGGCAGGGACTGGGTACAAGAGCGCTTTGGGAACAATGTATGGCGGGCTCCCCCATTCTGATTCCCCCGCCCGACTTGGTAGTAAATTGGAATCCACGTGGTGAGCGTGGGCGCCGGAGCTCACTCGCGATGCATTTCCATGGCGTTGGGAGACGCCGTGTGAGCTAAATTAGGAAATGGGGCAGCCATCTGCAACTTACGACAATATTTGTGATCGGAAGAGGGCAGCCACATGGATCTTTCCCTCCTCTCCCTTCCCTTCTGGTTAAACGCGAAAAGCAGCCGAGTGCTCAGGGGGCGAGCCCAGGCCGACGCAGTCGGGGGTCCTGGCTGGGTGCTGGCTGTTCCCGGCGGCGGCGTTTCCCCGGCGCTGGCCGCAGCCCCGGCGGGCCCCTGTCTGGGTGCTTGCCTTCCCCAGATTCCACACATTTCAGCGAACCTCGTAAACACAATGAACTCGGCCGTCCGCAGACCCGCACCGCGAATTTAAGGTGGCAATTTGTTTACAACTTCCCTTTCCCCTCAGACTCTGAGATGAAGTGGCTCAAAAATTGAAAAAGAAGAGGGGAGATGCCCTTTTCCGAGGATAAATTTTTAAGGGAGCAGAGATTTCATGCTCAACAAAAGCAAAACCGGCTGCCAAAAAAGGAAACCACCTTTATTTCGGTTCCCTCCTCCCCCCCTCCTCTCTCCGCCTCTCTCCACTCCGCCTCCCCCTCCAAGATGTTAAGAAATGTGGCAGTATTACATGGGTTTAGGCTGCAAATAGGGGCAGGGGCGCAGGAGGAGGGGGCTTAGGGGCATCGGGCAGTGCCGCGCTGCGGCGGCTCTTGAGGTGGTCCACTGTGGACCGCTTTCCAGTGCTCCGGAAAAGGCACGCTGGGGAGGGCGCGTACGTACACACACACACACACACACACACACACACACACACACACACACACACACACACACACACACACACACACACACACACACACACACACACACACACACACACACACACACAATCTCCACCCCCTGCAGACCTCCGACATCCCTTTCCTCCCAGGACCGGAGGGAGGGTTTGAATTTTTCAATCCCCACTTGTCTTTTTCCCCCCCTTGGAGGTGTATGTGTGTGTGTCTGTGTGTGTGGCGGGGACGATTCCAAAGAGGAAGAGGAGGGAAGAGAGAGTGGGAGGAGAGGAGAGACTGAAATGCACCTTGGAAATCTGCTCCAGAGCGAAGGCGGCGTCGCAGTAGCTGGGCCGGTGCAGATAGTCCCAGTCCGGCACGGCGTTGCGGCGCAGTCCCCCGGTCCGCCTGCGCCTCCCGCCACCGGCCGGCCGGCCCGGGGCCCCGCTGCAGCTGCCGCCGCCGCCGCCGCGGTCCTGGAGCTCGGCGGCGTTACCAGCCGAGGCCATGTTGCCGCCGCCGCCGCGGGAACCGAGGCTTCCCGGGCGGCCCGGCGCGCTGCTGCCGCCGCCGCGGGCTCCCGGCGCGCCCTGGCGCTCGGCTAGCGAGGACGCTGCTGGCCGCCGGCTGTTCGGGCTGGGGCTCCGGTTGACAGACCTGCTGCTGCCGCTGCTGCTGCTCACACAGCGGGTGATGCTGCCGCTGCGGCCGCGGCCGCTGCCGGAGAGTCAGACCCTGCGCCTTCCATTGCCACATTGCGCGGGGGTCCCGAGGTCTCTGCGGCTGCCGCTGCCCACATCCAGTTCTCCGGAGGGCGAGACCCGGCGCGTGGAGCCAGCCTGTCCTTCGGTCGCTCGCGCGGCGCTCCTGGCTGTCCCCAACTCCCCCTACCGCCTCCCGCCCCGCGCCGCGACCCCTTCACTGCAGAAAGCGCCAGCAAATCCCCGCCGCTCCCGCCGGCCTCGCTGACTCTCTCGGCGTCTCACGGGTCGCCCGAGCGGCCGCGGAGGGTAAAGGCAGAGTCGCCGCCGCGGGGTCCGTGGGCGCCCGGCGGGTCTCAGCGCTGTCGGGCCGGGGCAGCCGCTGCCGCCGCTGCAGTTGCGGCGGTTGTTGCTGGCGGTGGCGGCTCCTGAAGCTGCTGCTCGGGCTGCTCGCACTCTGGCTGTTGGCTTCTCGGTGGCTGCTTGGTCCCGGACTCTGCTTTCTTGTGCTCCTCGCTGACCCGCTGGACCATTCTGCCCCAGTGCAGCGCGCCTCTCTCGCTCCCGGGACCTGGGGACTCCGCTCTGTGTGTGTGCAGCGGGCAGCGGCCGCAGCAGCTCCTTGATTCAATAGATGAGATGGAAGAAGAAAAAAAAGAACTCTCTCCATTTGGAGAAAGAGGAGGAGGAGGGGAGGGGGTGGAGGGGGAGAGAGCGAGCGAAAGAGAAAAAGGCTGGAGCTCCCGCCCCCGGGGCTGTCAGATGGCTTGGGTTTCTGCAACGCGATTGGCTCGCGGAGGGCAGAAATTACTCAGCAAACATGACTATTATTAGCTGCTTAGCAACAGCTCACCAAAGTAGAGAGACCACCCAGGTAGGCAACCCCAGTGTGTGCATCCCGGGCTTCGGGGGGAGCCTCCGAGAGCGCCAACCTTCTCGCATGCAATACTTCCATTAAGGAATGCTCCCCCTCCCTTTCTTTCTTATTCCTTTTCTTTTCAACAGTGTCTTCTTTTTGTAAGATGCTTTACTCGCGCGCGCGCGCGCGCACACACACACACACACACACACACACACACACACACACTACACGAGTATTTGCCTCGCGATAGACACGGGGGAAAATGTAATATTTTTTTAAGCGCTTAAACAATTTCAGAAATTTCTTCAAAGAAAACCCTTTCAGAGGCACCTTGGCCTCAAGCTGCAGCAAATACTGGGAGGTCCAGCTTGAATTCCCAGGCCTGCACCAATAATGACAGGGTGGTGGATAGTGCGCCAGTGTGTGCCAGATTTTTTTTTTTTCCTTCTCTCTTTTCTTTTATAACCAAAGAGAAGACTTGGGCTCTCGCAGGGAACAACGCCTCGCATTAAGATAAACAAAATGGAAAGTTAAAGAGGAGAGTAAGGACGTTGGGAAAAGCCACCATTTCTTGAAATTCGCTCCCCCCCCCCCTCCGTTTTCCCTCTCTAAACCCCACGGCAGCACAGTCCAGGTTTGAAGGAGTCAGTGTTTTATAAACGTGGAATCCAGACACAGAAGCAGTCTCGTGGAGGCAGAGGCGTTTTTATTTGAATCTTTAATGCGACGATTGTAGAGGAGAAACAACAGAATCCTTTTAACAACCGGAGAAACAGAAATGTTTTCTTTAGAAAGAGAGAAAAGCTTTTCTATTTTTGGATTCATTTGGACCCTCCCCCCTTTTCATTAACTACAAGTCCCTTTTAATTTAAAATCTTTTAAACCTTTCCCCCCAAACTGGTACGCATCCTGTTATATTTAATAGTAGCGTGACATAAAGGAGAAAAAGGCTTTGATGCTGGATTCATTTGAAACAAATTGTGCGCCAATTGCGAGGACTTGTCCGGACACTCCAGCCAGTGTCACCGAGACATCAGGGGGATTCGCTTCCCGTTGGGGCAGAAAACCTGCCAGTCTGAGGTGGATCCTGGGGTCAGAGACAAATTAAAGTGCCTACACGGCTCCGATTTTTATTTTTTTAAAAAAATTTATTTTTGGAGAGTACTTTTCTTTTGCAAGTTAATTTCCTCCGCGAAATAGAGACCAGACCCACAAACTCTCTATTCTGTCTCACTTTAGTATTTGATTCCCCTCACCGCCACTTTTTTTTTTTTAAAACAGTATTGAACTGCAGAGGCACTCCCTGCAGCAAGTAGCCGATTGAAGCCCTGAAATGGGGCAGTGTGGCTTTAAGATGCACACGGTGTGTGTTCATTGAAAAAAAAAAAAGAAAGAAAAGGAAAGGAAAGGAAAGAAAGAAACCCAGATGGAGGGAAAGGGGGAGGAGCGGGGGAGAAGGCGGAGCCCACGCAACCACGTGACTTAAGGCCCAGTCGGCGCGCGCTCCAAGGGCCTGGAGGCCTATTACGCGCGCGCGTGTCCGAGCGCGCCCGCTAGCGCGCGCGCCGAGCTCCGGACTCCCCACTCCTGCGCAACCCTGGTCAAGCAGGTAGGGAACTGGATGCGCTTGGCTAGCACCAGGCGGGCTCCAGGTCTCCAGCGCTGGCTCCCGGGAGCCCAAGGGAGGCGCACGCCCCACCGGCGCGGACGGACGTGCCGGACGCGCCGTAGTACATTCCTGAAGGCGGTCCGGCCCCCTTAGGTCGTCCAATGCCTGCGCGGCCTCCTCGTGGTCGGCCAATAGCTTATCGCTCGGGTCCCTTCCCATTCAGCGGCCCCGTCCCGAAAGGAACTGCAGCCGGGCGCGCCGGCCACCCGGGCGGCCCACGCGGCTCCCGCAGGGGGCCAGTCGGCCAGCCCTCCCCGCCGCCTTACTTCCTCTTCGGCGGCTCCCCCCTCCCTCCTTCTTTCAATCTCCCCTTTCCTTTCTCCTTCCTCTTTCACCCTCCCTTTTTTTTCTCCCCCTCCCTACCAGCCTCACCACCCTCCCTCTAGCCTTTTCTCCTTCCTGGTTTCACTGGGAGGCCCTGCCCTCTGAATCCCAGACTGGCGAAACGCGTGCGGTACCCTGGGCTGGATGGGGTGTCTTGCAGAATTAAGAGACAAAGAGTGTAGAAGTGTCTGAGATCCGGAGGAGGACCTGAGTACCCGACCAGCGCGTAAATTCAAAACTTAAAACTCCGAAGGAGCACGTGATTTTGTGCGCGGCTCTAGGAATGGTTGCGAAAATTCAGAAAAGACAGCAGCGTGCATTTCAAATGACAGTACGTTAATAAATAAGATCGCAGGAATAATGGGCTCGACCGAGAGCAAACTTAATCTTTGAGCAATATCCTGGTCTTTATTATGTTTGGTAAATAGCATATCGGAACACGTGATATATTATTCTGGTATTTTTCACTGAATGGTTCTACTGACGTTTCAAGTCAAACCGTTTTGTGCGTGCCGCTGGAAATTAATTTTTAAAGGTTTTGGGATGGTACCCCTAAAAAGACACGTCAGTCTTATATTTGAGGCTTGCTGTGTGGCAAAGGTAACCATGTAGCTATAGGCAGGGTGCTATGTTTTTCTTTACGAAATTCTATACAATGGTTTAGACCAAAACTTTAGTTTTTCCTTTATTGCAATTTCAGTATAGATTATGGAATTCTGAAATGAAATGATAAGCTATGCACACATAACGATTTCCTATTCCTCTCCACGCAGCTACATGTACACCATTTCGATGACAAAACCTCTTTCACTCGGGTTCATTTCCCTGGGTTTGACTTAATTCCTAAACGTTCTGAACACTGATCTCTGGGGTTTTCAGCTCCCTTAGCCCCGTCACCCGCTGTTTGATAGGTTAACTTTTCAGTATCTCAGACAATAGTGTCGGCCTGTAAATTCTACCATGGGTTCCAGGACAGCAATCCCCAGGCTGGGCTCTAACAAGCTCTATCTTAATCTCCCCACCCCCACTGGCCGCTTCCCCTGTGGTCTGCTTTTTTCATACACGGAGATGAATTACTTTGAGGATCTAATTGGCCTTGTTTCTGTAACGTTTTAAGAAAGGAAGAGGAGCCAGTGTAAAAGCCTGCTCTACTTGGGTGGTCAGGGTTGAGGCTGCCCCCAATTTGCCTCATTGCTGATGCATGTGAGTTCGACATTCCCAGCGATAATGTTGTTCCTAATCAATCTGCCCTTATTTACATTTGTAAGCATTGTCGGCTTTAATATGCATGCCCTGCGCAGGGCACCGCTGCGCCACACCGGGTTTGTTAACTTCAACCAGGATTCTCCAGACCTGAGAGGAGGCTGACAGGAGGAGCCAGGGCTGCAAAGGTGTCTGCTGGGAAAAATCTCTTTAGTGGCCTTTCTGCACTGAACAAGTGAGACGCCTGGTGCCTTTTCAACCAGCAGGAGTTGCTGGCCCTCTTTCTTGAGTGTCCTGTTTTCCCTTTCCAAGTAAAGTCCATCTCAATGCATCAATTGTCATTTTGGTCTCCCTGTCATGATCCAAGACTTCATTGGAATTTGTAGTTTTCAAAACACATTACTTAGACTCTTAAAATATGATTCCTTCATATCTTTTCTCTACTCCAATATTCAAATAACCATGGTCACACCACACACATCTCAAAAATGACATCTGATTACCCCAATGATGACATTGAAATAAAACATCTGCCCTTTGTGTTTGGACATTCCAGTGATAAGAAACTGTGGGAGCTGCACTTGGTGAAGTAATGAGAAACCACACTGGAACTTGACTTTTCACTGGTTTCTCAGATCCAACTAATTAGGTCTTTAAAATCTAATGTAATTTAGCTAATATCTGCAGAGTGCAAATGAATGGAGGAGTAGATGTTTTCTAGTAATTTGACCTTTGGGCCATGTTATAATTTTTTCTACTGAGCTTAATACTCTTTTCCACAAATGCAAAGAATTGCAAACATTACATTAAGTCCCACAAGTATTCCTGTGGAGAGGCTTCGATGGGGAGAGAATTGGGGATTTAAAGTGATATTCTATTTGTGGATGGAGAGCCCAGGGTACTGGATGTGAGTGATGGGCCGGAACCTGAGCAGTTCAAAGCAGGTACCTTTGATAAGAGTTGACTCAATTCAAGCCATTTTTTGGCTTCCTAAGACTGCCTTATTATTTCCTCATTGGCAGCTTTTGTATTTGCTTAAAGGTGATGGTAGAAAATGAGTCTAAAAGGGGGAGGGAAAAAACCAATTCAGCAGCCCCAGAATGTAACCCCCTTAAGTATGACTCCCCTCCCCTTCTCCCTTCAACCTTCTGTTTCCTCCCGTATTCCCCCCTCCCCAGAACTGGAGGAAAGGGAACAGCTCTAGCCAACTTGTCAAAATAATGCTGCTAATTACCCCTGATCTCCTTTAATGGGAAGCTGCTCCCAATTCTACAAAAGAGTAAATGAGGGGTCTACAGCACAAACCCAGGAGCACTGGCTTTTTGTGTGTGTGTGTGTGTGTGTTTGCAGTGAGCTTGGTGGGGGGGTTGGGGGGGGGGGCTGGTGGTGGTGGTAGAAGGAGATGTCCTGAGAAGGTCCCGGAAATCTTCACGTTTATTACTCCAGGTACACATACTAATTTGGAAAAGAGACTTAGACTTTCTGCGTAAAAGGGACTTAGACTTTCTGCCAAAGCTATTGGTATTCTCTTGCTGGGAATGTCACTAACTGCAGAGAAAATGCTCAGTCTACAGTGAACTTGAAAGAAAACAGCATTGACCCTTATATTTATTTCTTCCCTTGCCTATATATCTTCTTAACCACATTACTTTAAGAGATAGAGATGTATTCTGGAAAGTCCCAAACTTCAAACATTCTCCATCTCTCTCCTTGTCTCTATCTCCCCATCTAATATATCCATATCAAACTCTGCATTTGGCAGAAGGCACACCATTCATTTTGGTGATCTCTGCCATTGGGTCTTGCATGAAAAAGAAGCTGAGCAACATGATCCCTTTGACCCACTGCTGGAGCAACAAATTTATTAGAGATATAGGCATGAGAAATGAAAGGGAAGTAAAACAATTCCAGCTTATTGTGTGTCTTTCTTTCATACTGCTAATCCGGTTTACACATCACGCCTACATGTCTCAATAGGGCTTTATACACTGTGGCAGAGGCGGGAGAAAATAAAAGGTGTGTGTGTGTGTGTGAGAGAGAGAGAGAAAAGACAAAATAGGGAAGACCGATATTTTAATCCATTCAATCTATATTGATTTGCCTCATTAGTTTTTCTATCTGAAGAAAGTTGAAGATAATTTTTTAAAAAGTCATTTTTTCACAAAATAATTCCAAATGGTGCTAATTCCTATTCAAATAGCTTGTTACATTATGACTAGGTTATAACCAGAAATTAGATACACTTCTCAGTGAGTTTGAAATGAAGCTAATACCCCAAATTGAGAACGAGCCCATGGGTGTCTACCTTGATTCAACATTTTAAAAGAAAAAGGTCTTAGACTCAAAGGCAAAAGGCTGTGAAACACAGTCTTGTGGGAGGAAGCTGGGTGACAACTGGAACACACACAAACTCACAACTGAAAGCCCTTGTTTTACAACATGGGTACACAATGCACCTGAGGCAACAATTTATACCACCCAGAAATAATAAGTTACAGTAACAAAGGGTGACACCAAAAGGCATTGTCTTTCTTTGTAGAGGCAATTAATTGCATGTTGAACTACTGGAGCCAAAAAAAAAAAAAATCGAACACACAAAACGCTGAAAACAGGACTATTGTAGGAGTTCAAAACCTCAGTATCAAAGTATTAAAAACTTAGAACCACCCATAGTGGGTTTTTATTATTAGCTCCTGTTCTTTCATATGGTTCCTCCCTAGAGAGGAAGGAAGGCTAGAAAGGGAAGAAGATGGTCTTCTCTCCCATGTCTATGAAAACAGAGGTCTCTAGGTGTCTTCCATAGACAACAATCCATATGGTTCTTAGGTGATGGAAATCGAGATCTGAAAATTTGGAGTTTATTGCTCATCCACCAAGTAGGAGTCATGTTTAGCAGGAACTTAATACCTGAAGACACAGTATATGTCACCTCCGAGGTACAGTCTCTGGAGGTCTTGTGGTCCCATGGTTGGCACCAGGTCTATATGGCTTTGGATCAGTCTGGCCCACCTCAGGGATCCCCCTCAGGCCCTACTTAGCCATCTCAGCACCGGGCTAGCCGCCCACCTTTTAAATGGTTGGCAGGCACCAGAATGCCCAATTCCGTGGGTGCAAGAGTCAACACATACCTCTCCTACCCGTGGCCCCTTCCTGAATCCAGGAAAGCCCCCTTGGCCCTTATTCCCACCAACGGCGACCGGGAGAAGGATGTTTGCGCTCCGGGTTTTGATAAGGTACTTCTCTCCTAGTCCTGGGTGTCCCACTCAGAGTCCCGGCTCAGGTGCCGAGGACGCGGTAGGGATGCGGGAGCGTACGCCCAGCCCCTCGGGCAGACCTCCCCGAGCTCCCGGGAGACTGGAGAAGTCGCCCGGGTGCGCGCGCTCCCGGCCCGCACCCTCCCCCCGGCGCTGTCACTCTTCGGACCAGCCCTCCATCCCCAGCGCTCAGCCTCCGCTGGCAGTCAGTAGCCACCACCAGGCTGAAGAGCGGAAGCCAAGGTGGCGACCCTTTCAAGCGTGAAAATGGGATCCCAGGCGACCCCCTCCGTGAGAATTCCCCTCGGAGCCGTTCCCCGGCCGGGCCCGCCGCAGACAGCCCCCTCCCCGCCCCGCGGGGCCGGCCTCGGGGGGCGGGGGCCCGGAGCGTGCGAGCGAGCGGGCCAGCCTGGAGGCGCGGGCCGGCGTCCCCGAGCCCCGCCGGCGCAGCCCACCCAGCCCCGCGGCCCCGGCGCGCCGCCCTCCCGCCCGCCCGTCCCCGCAATCCCGCGTTCCCGGGGCGCACGCCGCGCGAGGGCGAGGTGGCGGCGGCGGCCGAGCCGGCTGCACTCACCATAGCCGGCCGTCAAGCCCTGCCCGGAGCGCGGGTGCCGATGGCGCGGACGCTGCGCTTGGATTTCACATCAATTCCTTTCCCCCCCGTGCCCCCCTTTCCTGGTCCTCTGCTCCTCCGTCTTCTTCCCGTCTTCCCTCGTCTCCCCCTAGTCTTGTCGCCGCAGATCTCTTTGTCTTCCCTGTCGTCGTCTTTTTCTTCGTCTTCGTCTTCTCCTCCTCCTCCTCCGTCTTTACAAAAGGAACGGAAAGTGTAAAAACCCCGACGCGCTGGGCCGCCGGAGGCTTTCGGCGGAGTGCGGCGCGGACTCACAATTACAAGCCTGTTTCTATTAAGCAGTTCCATGGCCCTCGGCGTGGGTGGTCTGCCGCGCCATAGGCAGGACCTGTCAGGGTCACGTGACAGATCCGAAAACTTTACCCCTTTACAATAAACTCAAGGAAAGCAAAGTAAACTCGAGGAACGTGCTATCAGCACAGCCCTCCTGGGTAAACAGGCGCTCCCCTCCCCGCCTTCCTGGGAGGCGCCCCGCCGAGCGAGCTCCGCCGAGCCCCTGCCGCCCCTCCCCGCCCCCTGCGGCTCTGTCTGCGGGGGGCCGCCGGGCGGGGGGTCTCCGCTCAACATCTCGCCTTCCGCACCTACTGCTCCCCAACCCCACACTCGTTATTTGCTAACAAATAGCCACTTGCCCAAACCCCCGAGTGGGCGGTGCTGGGGGGAGCAGGGAAGCTCATTTTAGCATCCCCGGCGCTCCGGGAAATGAGGGGTGCCCAGAGAGAGCGCTACAGAGGAACACCACCTTCCTGTCTTCAGTTCTCAAAGCCCTTTCCCGCTCACATTCCCACGGAAGCCCCGAGAAGCTGGGAGCGTTCTGGTTGACAGGCCCACAGGCTGACAGGGAGGCAGAGAGCCAGGGAAGCCGGGCAGATAACAAGAGTCTCCCCGGGGAAATGTTCAGTGTACTAAGATGTATGTGGATTCGTGCAGCTTCTGTCGGAGGTCCCTGGGAAGCTGTTACTTCTGAAGTAAGACTAACGTGGAATCCCTTGGAAACGAAGATTGGTAGCTGGCTGAGGAATCACTAATTGATATTTGCTCTTTTCCCTTCCAATTACTGTGGTTTTTGGGGTATGCCACCCAAACGCTCCCACCCACGCTGCCTTCCCAAACGAGGCCAGCTTGGGTGATTGGGCTAGACGGAAGTGCTGTGGCTCTCAGCCTCTTACCCTAAATGGAAAGTCCTATTCAGGAGAGACTCGTCTGCAATGTTTAATCTACTCAAACCTGCAGGGTAAACTGTTTCACATTCAGACCGCTGAAAGGTGCTATTTTAAATGAACCCCGTTTTGAATAAAGATGAATTACAGATACAGGGGGAAGGGGTAACGAAAGTTCCTGAAACTGTTGGGAGTTACCTAGCTGGTCTTCAAGAAAAGCCTGCCTTTTCTCACCTCATTCTGGGCTGGCTGTGTGATTAGGGGTTGTGTGTGTGTGTGTGTGTGTGTGTACATGTTGTTGTTAAAATAAAACAATACATGAAAGTCACAATGGGGCTTCTCAGTGGCACTAGTAGTAAAGAACCCAACTGTCAATGCATGAGGCGCAAGAGACAGGGGTTCAGTCCCTGGTTGGGGAAGATCCCCTGGAGTAGGAAATGGCAACCCACTCCAGTATTCTTGCCTGGAAAATTCCATGGACAGAGGAGCCTGGCAGGCTGCAGTCTATGGGGTTACATGGAGTCAGACAGGACTGACCACGTGTGTGGCCTCTCCCCACCCCCACAAGGGTCACAAGTCATCTCCTTACCCCAAAGATGATACACCATTCTTTAACAGGGTCATTTGAGTTTACAGGGTGTTTGTGTTTGAAACACATTAAGTAATTAAACATTGGAATACTGGGCAACCCTATGAATTAAGCTGGTCCAAAAAGGGGTTATCATTTCATACCAGTTGACTTTAGTATAAAATGGTCTCCAGTGGATATTAGATGAGCATGGATTCTGTGTCATAATGATTGGGAAAACAAACCCACCAACATTTCCCTCTGAAAGACTCTCTTTTGGCGTCATATCAAAGGATTCTGTTCATACCCTGTTATAAACCTGGGTTGGGGAGAGTGGGTGGGGACTAGGAAGAAGATGGTTTAAGTACATCTATAAATAGAGTGATCTAAAATATGAAAGAGGAAAGGTGGTAAGAAAAAGAGGAAACAGCTTAGTGAACTTTTAAATGGCCCATAATATAAAGTTGTTAGGTAAGCTAGTTTTGCAGGGAAATTCCAGCAGAACTGTGAAGTTTGCCTTTCCCAGTTCAAATGAAGACCCTCACGCAAGCACATTTGGCTACCTGCTCCATGAGTATGGCCAAGGTTGATAATCAGGGGTGGACCCAGGTTTGGTGGGGTCTCAGGCATATGCAGTTTGGTAAGGGGAGACAGCTTCTTCAGGAAGTTCAAATTACAAACAAAATAAAGTACTGGACTGTGGAAGGAGGGGCCCTGAAGCTGCATGAGCCTCCAGTCAAGTTACCCCTTTATAGTACAGAACGGGGAGGTTACAGAGCTGCCCAGATTTTGTGGTCTCGCCATCACTATTTAAGACTGAAGGTCTTAATGTCATAGTTCAGTCAAATGCTTTATAGTTGGGAGCAAAGATGAGCTTTTTTTGAATGTGAACTGTTGACGTTGGGCAGTAGGGGTTTAGTGAATCAGGGAGATAGAACCTTTAGTGTCAGAACTTGAAAGGTCCGGAAGGAGAGGAGGGCACACTGGCAATGCTCTCCCTCAATAGCAGCTTGCCCTTCCTATCCTTCTTCTGAAATCAGGTTTTGAAAATTATCTCAGTACTATGCCTTCTCTTCCCTTCACTCCTAGATGTTAGAAACATTAAATCATCAATTCTGAGACATGTGTTCTCCAGGATCCAGAGCCCCATGCATTGGTACCTTCTGGCATTTCTCTGAGACTCTCTGCCAGGGTAGGTGGGCTCTTTCTTATCAAGCAGCTGCCTCCACCATTCTAAAGTTGCTTGTGTCTCATCCCTTCCTGTAAAGCCAGCTCCAGTGCTGCCTCGTCTGATAACCCTCTTGGCATGGAGGTGTCAATGACTGTCAAGGCTTCCAGACAGCAGAGCCCAGCTGTAGCCTGCCCGATCTGATAAGCCAATTGGCATCAAGATGTTAGTGGCTGATGAAGCCACTAGACAATACATTTGTAAGTTAACTTGGACTTTCAGAGCATGCCCAAAGGAATAAGTTGCCAAGTTGGAAATTTCAGGGCGTTAAGGCAAGACCGGTTGGAGACATGTGGGGCATCTGAGGATGGAATAATGGAGGGACCTTCTGAAACAGGTCTGAAAACAGACCACATGGGCATGATCAAATTTGTTGATGGGCAAGGTCATTCCTGGCTCTGTTTGTCTCTGAATATCTGCTCCTACTTGAGATACAGTTGTTATCCTTGCCACACATAAACACACACACAGGCACATGCATGCACATACATTCTTCTTTCTGTGCTCCCCTCTTTCTGGTTCCACTAAATGTGGGTGCCTCAGCACTTTTACTCATCCCCTCCCTGACTGCAACCTCCAGCAACTTGAGGGTTTCAAATGAATAACTGAGGGTTCAGGAGAAACATTTGTCCACATTTGAGAACGTCTCCATCTCAGGATGAATGCCACTCTCATACTCTGTCAGTCACCCTTGGTGTGGTCATTCTTAATACTGGATCAGACAGACCAAGCTTTCATAAAAAGTAATTTTGCCCAGTGTAGAGATTTCCATTCTAAGATGACTACCCTCTCTTCCTGTCAGGAGGATACCTACCCCAAGACAAACCAACTTACATAATTGGGGCTTTGAGGACTGAAGGGTAAGAAGTATTTAAGGTGGTTGGTTGGAATTAGGAGACTGAATGAACAATTGAATTATAGTGGTAATTGCAATGCTGAAACAGAAAAAGAAGAATTTTTTAAACAACAATGAGAAGTAAAACAGGATTGCAGAGCAGAAAAACCTGCACAAACAGCTTGGAAACAAAAGGGGTGGAATGAGACCTGGAGTATCATAAACGAGCTTTGTTTGAGTGTGATCTGTTGGAGTCATAAACCAAAGACTTTTAAGGGCTGCCATTACCAAATACGGAGACATATGGAGAAGTTGTAATATTCAAAGGTAAGACAATAACCTCAGGAGGAAAAGAAGCAGGGAAAAGAGATACCTGAGGAACCTCCTACCTCAAAAAATGAAACTGACCCAAGTTGTTTACTCTTGCAATGGATATACACATAGAACTGTCTCTGATCAGAGGATTGCCTCTATGGAGAACTTCAAGGGGCAGCCTTGCCAATGTAGAATGCGGTAAGAAATGAAATGCCAAAGAAGATTTTTAAACTATGGGAGGCAGCTGTGCCCAGGCTGGCTGGTGGTGATGGTGATGGTGGCAGATCAGAGCCAGGGGAAACAACTTATTGCAATCAGCAGGTCAGAAGAATTATCAAAAGGTTCCAATTGTATCCAAAAGGACTGAAAAAGATATTAAATGTAGTAAATATAAAAAATACCCTCTGTCTGGAAAAAGAACAAAACTGGAGATATAATCCTTCAGACCATACTATAAAGCTACAATAATCAAAGCAACATGGTATTGGCACAAACCATATAGATCAATGTAACAGAATAGAAAGCCCAGATATAAATCCATGCACCTAAGGTCAGTTAATCTATGACAAAGGAGGCAAGAATCCACAATGGAGGAAAGAATCTGTTCAGCAAGTGGTGTTGGGAAAGCTGGACAGCTACGTGCAAATCAGTGAAATTAGATTGACTACCTCATATCATATATAAAAATAAACTCAAAATGGTTTAAAGATCTAAATATAAGACATGACATCCTAAAACTCCTAGAAGAGAACACAGACAGACATTCTTTGATATAAATCATAGTAGTATCAGTCTCTGAGGCAAATGAAATAAAAGCAAAAATAAACAAATGGAACATTATGAAACTTAAAAGCTTTTTGCACAGCAAAGTAAACCATCAACGAAATGAAAAGACAATGTACAAAATGGGAGACAATATTTGCAAATGATGCAGCCTACAGGGGTTGATATCCAAACTACACAAACAGCTCAAGCAACTCAGTAACAAAAAAAAACAATGCAATAAAAAATGAGGGAATATCTAAATAGATATTTTCCAAACACAACATGCAGATGGCTAACAGGCACATGACAAGATACTCAGCACCACTTATTAGAGAAATGAACATAGAAACTCAACGAAGTATCACCTCACACCAGTTGGAATGACCATCATAAGAAAGTCTACAAATAAATGCTAGA